AAATATTGAAAATGTCGAAATACTATCTCTCTATCAACGTGAAGCGATACATTTAGCGTGTACGTATATGGCAATAGAGTACTAAGATTTATTGCAATTATTGTCTTGTGACGTCACAAAGATGACGTCAATTTCTCTTGGCTCAGACTCAATTTTTTGAGAGGCGTTCCAAAAGTCATTTTCCAAGTGAAAAACGATTGACATATTCGAAATTTTCATGAAAATGTCTGAAATGCCACTTTAAGTTGATTTTCTTGTCGCCTGACCTTTAAAGTGACTTGGTAATAGTGTTGAAGGTTGATTAAAACAATGTGTAATTTTGGTATGAAATGTATACTGTATTTCTTCTACTGTATTTACCCTCTGACAGGCAGAAAACGTGAGAAAATTCTCAAACCACAAAGATATTTATGGTTTTCTTTGAAGGTTTCACTGTGCAACCCCCTCTAACAGGGATTAACTGTAATCTCCCAACCATTTTTGAATTTCCAAACCGTTTTTTCTTAAAAATATAACATAAGACAGGTTTTTAAAAGTCTGTCAACACTTAAATGTCTGGAATGGTATAAAAGGCCATTTTATTGCATTGTGACGATTTACATTCACCTAAAATGTAATTAAATTGTAATATAGTTGGGAATATTAAGCAATCGATCAGATTTCTCTTGGCTAATTGTTTAATTGTACATCTAGCATTAAAGTCACTACCTTAGCACCATTTTCTCTCATCTGAACAATGTTACCAAGTCCCTTTATGTAGGGTTTTCAAAGCTTTTACAAATGGTACCAAAATGTCTATTTCTGAAATTTGAAATAAAAATTGCTCAATGAATGAAATATTAATTGCTTTTTATTTTTCATTAGATTTTTCGAATTTATTTGTGATGGATATTGGTATATCTTTTTTTGTATTTATGGTTTAAGTGTTTGGATATGTTTTTATATTTTAGGTATCAAATAAACCAGAGAAGGTGGTAAAGAAGCGCTACTATGTTCCTTGCAGAATGACGACCCATTGTCCGCCAGAAGAGAAAGCACAGATCAAATCTTCTACAGTTTTTTATGTGGACTTCAAGGGCTTCTTACCAGGTGAGGATGAATTCATCATCTGTCTTGAGCCAGAAGGGTGCTTACCCGTTGACTAAATTATCATAGGATTTATACAGGGTAGGCGGTTCCTCTAGACAATGGATCAATTCGTGTAATGTATCGTAGAGATAATGCACTTCTTGCTCCAAAGAGACTTGCAATGTAAAGGTTTGTGTAAATTTAAACCTATCTAGAATGGCCATGTATTTTGTCTCTCTTGAGAAAGAAATGTGTATCTAGAAAGACCACCTTTTCTATAGTGGTCACTTGCTTAATTAAGTTTCCTTAATTGGCCTTGATAGACAAGTTGAATGACCTGTATAGGTTCTTGCCAAAAATGACGTATGCATGCAAAGTAAACAAGAGGTTTACTATGTCCAACTCACATATTGATTTTTTTTTTAATAGGGTTGGCTTCAAACTCGAGTAGAAAGACGGTTAGCTACAAACTATTTATGACTCTTTTTGTACCAGATTAGTCTAAATATTTTTCTTATTTGCTCTAATGTTAATATCAATATTGGATAATTTCAGAGTGCACATATCCAATATGCAAGGTGCTCTAATATAACCCCAGCTCAGCTGGGCTACTGATTGTAGGTTGCTCCCAGCAAGTCTAGGCATTGTCCCCTGCCGGTACCCACTAAACACCTGGGTGGAGAATGGCAAATGTAAATTAATGTCTTGCCCAAAGTCGTGTCAGGGCGGTCGGGTGTACAAACCACTAGACATATATCATGCCTTCTTGCTTCGGGGCTGCGCCTCTTAGCAAATAGTACTATTGGGGACACCTCTTGCGCATCATTTTAACCAGAACCTCTCAAGACAGTGTATATATGTGTATACTATGTTGAAAGGGTCGGAGTTTAGTCTATCTTGTTAGAAACTCGTGTTTTGTTTCTCAGAAATATTTGATCGTCTTCAAGCATTATTGCGGGTGATAAACCTTTTGAGCTGGCTTTCAAAATATCACTAGCCATAATGTGTTGGTCATCTCTCTTGTTTGACATTCCCACAGATGGGCTGTTTCATCGGTTGATGGCGAGAGCAGTGAGATGGATGGGTGAAAGAGTCGATCTTTTCTATCGTCACATCAGTCTAATGGTTGATGATGAGCATCATGTCAGACTAGAGATGTTACCTCCCAATGAAGCAATTATCAAGGTCTGAGTCAAGTGTCAGCGATACTTTTTTTCATGGTGGAGATACTGAATTGTAGGTAAAGTTTTTGAGGCCGCGCATCGGATCCCTCAATAGGCAATAAATAGCCTCCGCCAGGCAATGTTATAATCATTTTCCTGAAGACGATCATATCATACTGTTCAAACGTAGAGAACCAAGAGCTCCTCAGGGTGCTTATTTCTTTGAAAGAAATACATTGTCTAACGCTTAAAATTTTACCTTTAATTCAGTATCAAGGTCTGGTAATCAGTGCTTTAATCTGAAAAGCGGATCCCCATAATATCTCACCTTTGCTTTGTTTATATTTTTTTAGATACAAATACATTCTACGCGGATAAGTGTATTTAAGATCTGATCACAAACCCAATAATTGTTTCTATTTCAATCTATCGTTTTATTCTTGTTTTGTGTTGCAATGTATTGTAATATTGTGTATTCCTTTAAGTGTTTCGTTTTACATTATATTACCGGTATATAATACAGTTCTCTCTTGTAAATCAGTTTGTATATACTGAAGAGCATACTCCATGAAACAAACGAATAAATAAATTAAAAATTCAAGGGAAATAACTGACTATATTAGATAGCTTAGACAGATACCGAGATGTGATTGGTCCAGAGCTCGTCACGTGATATCAATTGCGAGGATCCAAATTGTTATATTTTCCTGGCCGGTCACTTTTCAGTGTTATATTTTACCGGCTGGTGAAATGAATATATTTTTAATCAATGCATGTCGCCCTCTTGAGAACTGTATGTCACCAACTACATACATTACACCATTATCGAGGGCCTTTTTATTTTTTCAATATTTTTTTTTCATGAATTTTTTTTTTTCCCCAAGAAATTTTTTTTTCCACATTTTTTTTTTCCCCAAAAAATGCTTTTTTGGGTAAATTTTTTTTTTTAATAATTTTTTTTTGTTTCCCAAAAAATGCTGTTTTTTTTGCTAATGCTAATTTTTTTTTTTTTTTTTTTTTTAACCCCAATTTTTTTTTTTTTTTTTTAAAGGTGATCTCGACAAATTATTTTTCCGTAATTTTGATTGTCTCCGAAAAAAAAAGAAAAAAAAAATTCGGGCTAAAAAAAATATGGACCCCCCCCCCCCACAAAAAAAAAACACCCAAGGATATCTAATATAACAGTTATTGACTGGCAGGGGTGTATATAACATTCTTTGGACCTGAAGGGAGTTATATTTTCCCTCGTGACCATATTTTCCCTCAGCGCTGCGCGCTTCGGGAAAATATAACCACTTGGGAAATATAACTCCCTTCAGCGGTCCAAATAATGTTATATTACACCCCCTGCCAGTCAATAACTGTATAGTAACTTTTTTGACTACTTTAATTTGGGCATTCGTTTGCTGTACATTGTACATTCTCTCTGTTGATTTTTTGTTTGCCCTTTTAAATAGATTGAAATTATATATATTAAAAAAAAAACTTTGTTTGACCTCTTAAATTTCTCCTATAATCATGTTAAAGAAAACATAACGAATCTTTACTTTTCTGACATTGTCATTTCCTTAATAACATAATGTACTTTGTAAAGTTGTTTATAAAGTAAATGTATTTAAATTTATTAATGATTCCTTACCCCCGCTATTATCGTTTGCACTACAAATTTCAAAATGCAAATATTGCATAAATAATTTGTTGCTCTTCAGGGGTGAAGGTTTTACATTAATGAAATATATTTGTCAACTGCTATATTTTAGTAATTTCAAATAAATGAGTTACAATCGGTTCACTGTTTTTTTAATATTTTTCATTAAATGAAGTACATTGTTTACACTCTCTGCTATGATTTTCCCTCATTGAAAGGTAACGTTTTCGTTACTGAATTAAAATGTCTTTCCTACTAGAGCTTGGTGCATGATACGTACAAGTTCACATTTTGCTTTACATTATGCCCAGAATCTTTTCATTTTACATGTATCTGTTGTAAATTTTCATAAGGAATATTGTACATCAATAGATCTGATCTTTCAGCATACTTACTCTTATTCTTTGGAGTTAGCGTTTTCTTTGATACTTCAAAATACAAAACACTTTATGCCAGTGATTTGGTTAACTTTTTCTGTTCCTGGCATTCCAGTGGTAGCTTAATTTATATTTTTGAAATCCTGTTCAGTGATTAGTTAACATAGCATCATGTGACCAAACATAACATTGCTATGATGTAACCGTGACGTCATCCATGGTATAGTGCACTATACTATTGTCTCTGTCATGGTACTGTCGTCTGCGCTGCTCTCACTGCACTCTACACTACTTAAGTGACAGTTAACATAATTATTATTATAATTATTATTTTTATGAAGGTTGATTTGAAAAATATAAAACAAATAGGCCTATATCATGCACTATTTCAAGCCACTAGTTAAAGTTATGGATTCTTCGGCGACAGAAATGGCACTATTTTCTTCGGGGTTACGCCCTTAAGAAAAAAAAAGTGCTATTCCTGCCACCTCGATCCATAATTCTAACTAGAGCCTCTCAGTGCATGGTATATTTGTTTGATATTACATATTGATGTTTTTTTTCTGATTTGTAATGCATCTCTTTTCCCGAACAAAATACAATTGTATTGATATAGCACAAATCGTTTATTTATCAACTGTACACAATTACACGCCATCATATTATTAACTTCTTAATCCTTTTCACTTGCCTTGTGATGGTGAACACATCAGGTCACTGTCTTCCAAGGAGCGGTTGCTAACTTTGATCATGATGGGGATGGTCATAAACCTCCAGTCCCAAGTGCTGTCAAAATGGTAGGTAATAGCTCAACAGGATGGTTTCAATTACGACACAATATAAAATGAACAGAGACGGATGCGCATACCAATTTTCTGACAATCAGCGTGTTCTTATTAGAAGCCATTATCCCGTTAATGGGCGATAAGGGATAAATTTTGCGCAAACTTGATCATCTAACCACATTTACTTTCGCATTCTATCGGGTACCCATCTTACACCTGGGTGGAGACTGGCAAATGTAGATTAATTTCTTGCCAAAGGACTGATTAGTGCAGCGGCGGGACTCGAGCCGCGGACCTTGTGTGATCGACAGTCCGACGACGTATCCACTCAACCACGATTTGCAAAAATTGGTAACTTGCTTAATACACCCTTCACATACACAGATTTTTCTTGCGAGTCGTTACGGATCGCCAACTCGTAGTCAATCACAAGCATCCGCAAATAACTTGCTGGTATCCGTAAATAACTCGTCACAACTCACAGACATTCTTAACGATCCGTGAAAGGAGAGGCAAATTGTTTGACATGTCAAAAATCTTCTTACGATTGTCCACGAATTGATTTCCCTGTAAAAAGCTCGCAACAGTATCATAAACTACTCGTAAATCACTCGCAACAACACGTAACCCTCCGTAAACTGCTCGCAAGAATCCGTAAATGACTTGTAACAATTTTTTGTTAACGTCGTGGCGTGCGCCTGTAATCCAGCTAAAAAGTGGAAGTTACAAACTGATTCAGCCGAGGACGCAGGTTCGAAACTGAGTCACGTCTTTCGGATGGTGACGTTTAAAGGTCGGTCCCAGACGTAAATAATCATATCTGATTGATACACGTCTGTAAAAACCGAATACACACACACACACACACACACTGTTAACGATATGTTATGGTTAGTTTAGGATTTGTTTACGGAATATTACGAGTGCTTACGTGTTGTTTACGATTTAATTTGGTCGTGGAACGATGGCTTTACGGACTGTTACGAGTTATTCTGAGCACTCTAAGAGTAATTACGAGTTATGTACGAATATATACGTATAATTTACGTATTCTTGCGTATTAATTGTTAACGATTTTGGGGAAAGGCATAAAAGCTGCAAAATTGTAAGGGCTCGTAGATATTCGGAACTAGCTCGTAACTTTTTGTAACAACACGTGAACAGGTCGTAAAACGCCCGTAAGTTGCCCGTAGTTATCCGTGCCAACTCTAAACAAATCGTGAAATTTTGCCGTAAATGCATCGTAACAACTCATAAAAACTCGTAACAACTCTTAAATCAGTCGTAAAAGTGGCCAAATCATAAGGATGCGTGAAAGATCCATGAACTTGTGCGATCCGTAACGATTCGTGAGAAAAATCCGTGTATGTGAAGGGGGTATAAATTAGTCCGCCATTACACATATGAAAAAGACCTCTGAACCAGAGAATTGAAACTTACACTGGTAAAGAGTTTTGTGCATGTGTCATATAACATATTTCTAATAAAAAGAAGTAAGTATAGGTTATAAACTCCTCTGCTTATTAGTCGATTTCGGTAGTGACCGCCAACAAAAAAAGAGTTTGACTTAAGAGTTGAAATAACACATAATATAACTAATATAATATAACTGTAGTTGATTTCAAAGTAAGGGCCCATGTTCTGAGGTATGGTGGACTTTTTAGTTCAGATAGAGTAGACGATACTAAGGTTAGACCAAAGGCACTCAAAATTTACTTAGAAATTAACTAGTACTGTGTTGGTGATCGAAATCATGACTTTTACATCTCAAGACTAGTGTTTAAACCACTGAACTACGACTCCTTTATCCTAATGACATTTTTATCTAAGATATGTGTATAATCAGATGTGAACTTGAATCCAAATTAGTTTAGCTTAAAGCAAGAAGTTACTTGCTTAAAGTAGCCAAATGCAAAATGAAATGAAATATCTATCTTGGTGTTGTTTGTGTGTTTATGGTAGGTAATGGACTTTGTAGAGAGAAACCTTGATGACCTTATCAAGCGCTGGGCTAGGAAGATCGAGTATGATGTCTGCTTTCTGTGCCCAACGTGCAGTAAGAAGACACTGCTTAAACACAGCTTCAAGTGGAAGTCACTCAAATGTGGAGAACATACGATCCGTACAGCTGCAGTTAAGTCAAGGTTTGGTAGGTCTATATCTATTTCTCAGTTTGAATTTAGGATGTCTTTGCAATAAGTTCACAAAATGTCTTACCATTCTATATCAGTCAATATAGAATATTATGTCTTGTTTCGATCAAGAGATGGCTAACTTTTATTTTACTGGGTGTCAGGAATGGATAAGAAACACAAAAATTGTACATTAAACGCTTATGGACAAATAATTAATTTCTTGATCTTCTAAACATCATTAGACTGGTGTAAAGACACTACAAAAAACTCACAAACCACAATAAATCAATGTATCTACCTATTATCTGCTAGTTTCCCGAAACTACACAGCGTGGAGAACTAAAAACGTCACATCCGCGCATGCCCCAGCCCAGTACATCGCCTTCCCAAGGTCACGTGTGCAAACGCACGCCCACCATCACCCTCTTCTTTTTTTGCACGCCGAGAGAGTCTAATTCTAGAATTTTCTCCGTTTTGGCGCGTTTTTGATCTGTTCTTAGCTATTCCGTCCTCCTTATAATTGTGTTTATTTTGGTGATACGGTTTCCTGTCACATTTCTTTTACCAGACAGAAATAGATTATCGCCTCTTTACTGTGCACTCTGACATGGCTAAGCGCCTGTTTGTACGCGTCGGGGTTTTTCTTTTTAGCTAGGCAGATTATTTATTCCTTCGCCTCCCCCACCACCTGTAAAGCATAGCTCTCACCGCTTCGATGGGCACAGCTTGCGGCGCAGTTATTGTATGTTTGCGTTTGGGTTTTTTAGTTTTTTGTGCGTGCCTTTGGGAGTGTATTTTCTTTCACGATTTTTCAAGATTGTTTATGTCTTTTTTGGTGGCAATGCACACTAGCTTTTGCCACACTAGGTATGAGTGTGAACCTGACGCCTCGCTAGGGGATTACCTTCCCCAGCATGTCGGCAATGGGTAAGTTAAAAACCCGCTGCAGATAGCAGCTCTCGGACTGCTACCATGTTGTTTGCTGTCCCTGCGCCTGCCGGGCTCGGCATTACAACCACAATCACAGTTTACCGATACCGAACGCCAGCACTGGGGGGGGGGGGGGGGGGGGAGGGGGGAGGGGGGAGGGGGGAGGGGGGAGGGGGAGGGGGAGGGGGGAGGGGGAGGGGGGAGGTGGGAGGGGGGAGGGTTGTCAGACTACCAACTCAGTGCACTCAAGTACGATAGCCGGATATCACCTTCCGGTACCCGATCCTGGAACCCGGTCATGTTCGATCCCGGCAGGCTCAGAGTGGCCTGGCCAGAGCTGCCCCTACTAACCCGGCGGTGCTTGGAGCCACTCCCGGCTAGGACGCTGCCAGCTCGTGGTTGCACCCACTCCCATTTGGCCAGGGTCCCCACCTAGCATATTTTGAGGATCAGGGTGGTGACTTGGTTTCGGATGCAGCCCCCTGAACCTCTCGTGGTTTGGCAGCTGACGGGCATGGTGTATTGGACAAGTACGTGGCTGAGACCTTCACTCCGGCTCAGCCGCATGCGGCCCAGGCTTCCCTGCTCTTCAGACAAGGGGCTCCATCCACGGGCATACACCTGAAGGGCATAGCTGAATAGTCGTCTACATCAAGGGCTGCTAAGAAGCATCTCTTCGCGAAAGAGTACGCCTTCCAACCCCAGGACTCGCTTAGTTTTTTCCAACTGAAGTCATTCTCGTAGAAAGCCTACAAGGCCAAGGATAACCGGATGCGTGACTTTGGGACCCACACCAGATCTGGCATGCAGCTCACCGCCTTTCTGGGGTCACTTAATATGAGCCTCAGGATCAGGTCTCAGGAACTTGAGATTTTCGAGTCTAACGGTCCGGTGTTAGATGAGACCTTTATCAAAGGCACGGGCACCTCCCGCCGCACACAGATAGCCTCCTACATTCCCGGCCAGGACAACCTTATGGCAGACTTTCTCTCTCAGGGCAAGTGCTTTCCCTTGTTCACTAGATGCCTTCTCCCTCCTTCGGGGACACTTTCGGGGTACGCCTTACCCCCCCCCCCCCCCCCTCACTCCGGGAACGGATGGAACGTAGTCATGTTCCCAAAATCTTCAGTAAAGGGTTACTTTTCACACAAACAAAGTCTGGCTCGTAATACACAAAAAATCGGCCCATATTGGCTTAACCCTAATGAGGCCGGGGGGCCTTATTAGGGTTAATTGCTCGGGAATGCATATGGATGGCACCCCGCCGCTCGCTGACTTTTTTTCTTTCGAGTCTTGCGCAACTTTTAAAAGAATTTTTTTTTTAATCGAACCTACGGTTACAAGGTCACGTGACCTTTTGTCTTTGCATGTCAGCCCGAAAATCGCTCATTTTCGTGATTTGTGTACAAAACATATGGAAAAGTCATTTTTCCTAAAAACAGACCAAACATGGGTTATTGGGTCTTGTTAAAAGTTTAGGTGGTTGTTTTGGGAGTCAAAATAGTTGAATTGTAGTAAGAAATGAAATAAAACAACAAAAACAATGAAATACATCAGTTAAAAAAACAATGAAATACATAGGAAATTATCAAAACAAGGGATATCATTAGGAATAAGCTAACTCTTCCAAAAAAAATTGTTGTATTATTATTATTCAGAATGGTCTAATGAATATATGTAGTGAAAAACAATGCTTAAATATGAATAATATATGATTTATGGGTAAAAATGTGATTTGTATGACTTTATTTGCATAAATTACCATAAATATGCAAATGAGTGAATTTTTCAAAAAATTTAAATTATCATATTATTCTATACACTTCACTTGACATGCGTGCAAATTTTCGCCGCCATCCTAAGGGGGGGGGGGGCATAATGCCCCCCCCCCCCCGGCCATACTAAGACCTCAAATAGCCCGGCCTTATTAGGGTTAACACACAGTACTTAGGGGGGTGTTTTCAAAAGGAGGAAACGTGCATACGCGTACCCTTAATAACACCGAGTGGTGGTGGGGGGGGGGGGGGCCTTACCCCCTTTCCTCTGTTCCGTCAGGTCCTGACAAAGACCAAGGAGGATCAAGCGTGGGTCTTACTGGTAGCCCCGCGCTGGCCGATTTGAAGGTCAAGACCCTGTTCCTTATCGCTTTTTCGTCCGGGCAGATGAGGAGTACTCTCCCTGTCCTGAGTACCTCCCCCGGCCATATTCATTGGGAGAGACAGGGCGTTAGACGTATACCCAGGCCCTCCTTTATTGCGAAGAACCAGTCGGTTCCTTCCGGGACCGGTTGAGGTTTTCCTCAGCCCTCTCTCTGACTTTTCCTCTTTCAAGGAGGACAAAGTCTTGTGCCCAGTTAGGGCTTTAATATGGTACATGGACAGGACGAAGAGGTGTCGTAATAAGGATGGCCAGCTCTTCCTCATTACCCGAGAACTTTTCTTTTCTAAGGTATTGGTCCCAATTCTTTCACTTCCTTTTATTTCAGGGATGTTCCTTCTCGGGAGGTATGTCTGTTCGCGACTTTGTCCCTAAAAGCGGCATCGTCCGCCATAAATCTCCATTAATCTCCTTCCACTTTGAACATGCTACCCGGTCTTGTCTGTGCTGGTTTACCAAATAATAGGTAGATATATTGATTTATTGTAGTAAATCAGAACAATCATACCTGATATTATTATTTACTATAGATCTCTGTATCTACCCATATTCCTCCCTCCATCCCCTCTCCCTGCCCAGTAATATGTCTTAAGTGTTGTCTCAGGCGGCTCGTTAAAGTGGATGATGGCGGGCGAGCGTTTGCGCACGTGACCCTGGGAAAGCGATGTACTGGGGTGGGTCGTGCACGGATGTGACTTATTTAGTTATCAATGGATGTGTAGTTTAGGGAAACTAGTAAGTAATAGGTACATACATAGATTTATCTAGTAAATAATAAAGTCAGATATGATTTTTCTGATTTATGTCTTGCCAGTGGGTAGTATTGCTGTGGCAGAGATTTGAACCAAATACTTTGTGATCCACAGCCCTCTGATTTATCCACTAGACCTCAACTCTTTTCAATCTGAGGTGATTTCTTGATGTATTTTGATGCAGGTATGAGTGAGGAAGGAGTGGAAACAGGAAACAAGAGTCCAATGATGCCTAAAAGATCAAGTAAGTATTCAGTCAGTTCATCCTCTCAATTCCATTTTTGGGGTCTAGAATCATTTTGAAGGGAGTAGGATTTATTTTTCTTAGTTTGAATCTTGGGTGTGTTTTCAATAAGCTCACAAGAATCTTAACATTCGATATCAGTTAGTATAGAATATCACGTCTATTTGTCAATCAAGAGGGAGTTACTGTTATTCTATTTGGTAAACGAGTGGGATTAAATACACACTGACAATAAATATATAATCATCTGTATGCAGAATTGTGCTGTCATGTTATTTCAGAGACACCATACTTGTGTTCAATTGCTCCAAGTGTGTAGCAGTGAGTTGAGTTGCAAAATGAAATTGGAAGGCAAGGAAATGAATCCTGTCGGCTGTCACTCTTTCGTGTGAACCAGAGCCCTGTTTTTATGAAACAAATTATCAGTAACAAATGCAAAATTGTCCTAGCCAAGCAAATATGCCACAATTCCAATAGCTTATAACAGTTATTGTTACTAAATATTGATAACAATCTTTATGGAATAGGAATAAGATTCTAAAAAAATTGCATCCAGGGGTAGATCCAGGATCCTCTTTTTTAAAGAGGAGCAGTCTACTCCAAAAAAGTTCTAACATGCAAAAGAAAGGGTCATCAGATTTTCATTAGTGGCAGTTGTTGTTGATGCTTTTTTTAGTTTTCAATGAAATATCATTAAATAACGATGGCGCCGCCTTTCTATTAAAAAATTTCACTGACAAAAAAAAGCAAACAAAATTGTCTCAAAAGTGTAAACAGTCAGACCGCAGCCGGTGCGAAAACCCTCTATTTTATTCAGCACGTATGCAAGAATTTATGTGTCTTGCATACGTAATGAGTAGTGCAAACGGTCTTTCCGATCGGCAGTTTTTGCCTTTATAATTGTTCATTTTTCATGAAATTGGTCTTATTTTACAGATAAGACGTTGCACTTTATGTATACTTATATAACAATCATGTTAAATATATTTTTGGATCAGATATTTCGCCTAGAAAATGGGGTTTTTTGACGATAAATCTATCTTAAAACTATAGGGCTGATTTTCACATAGAAATCATTCTTGCGTCACAAAGATGTTATAATCAGCATAAAGCATAGATACTTTTCACGCGAATGTTTATGAATAATTAATAGTTGTAGTCAATTTTGCCGATGTGATAATATAGAGTTCTGATTGGTCAAATACGTCAACTACGTCATATATGTTCTGTTTTGGTTTATTAACATTCTGAATACCAAACTTTAGTAACCATGCCTTGTGGTGTGCGCCAGTAGTGCACGTGCGCGTAAGCAGTCATGGCAACGATCTAAAGACTCTGGATCAAATACGTCACCTGCCCAAATGGATGATTCTTTTCTACAATATTTCTATTTTAATCATTTTTCTTATTTGTTACGGCCAGTCGGTGGCGCGGCGGAGCTCCCTGGTGTTTAATAATCAGTTATGCATTGCAATTGCTCAGACGGCGAGCGTGCACGAGTATGAAATCACACAATTTCGCGCCATCATAGAAAGAACAAATTGATAATTTCCGGGTTTTTAGGGTCTTAATTACTATGATTATAAAGAGAACAAGATTTTGCGTCAATTAGGTTTTGACATTATTTTGATCAGTGACTTTTCATCTTTCCAACGAATCTTAAAGTAAACAAATTAATTATGTACCAAAGTCAGGAACCAAAAGCGAAATTTCGGGTATAAAATAGCTGTTGAAATGTTACAAAAATAACGACAATAAAAGTGGTGAAAAAGGATTGTTTCAAAATTGTGAAATATGGCAAGTTTCATATCAAACTGAAGCTGAGAATCTCGAGAGTAATTACAAGTGCGTGCTGCCATGTTGACAGAAGTTATCGACCACAAAAGCAGCTGCATGTACACCCTTACAAATCTCACGGAAAATCTCGTGAATTTCAGCACACGTGAATGTACGAGATAACCAAAGAGACGCTGAATAAAAATCAGCGTATAGCCTCATTATCGCGCACGCTGCGGTCTGACTGTAAGGATACATGTATATCTCATAAGCCTAAAGGATAATACGGTAGGGCTACCTTGTGGTGATATGTCAAGAATGCACAACAACATATGCTACAGTTGGGAATCTCATGTGCTGATAAGTATGTTTCAACTAATAAAGTTTCTTTTGAGCTTCTAGCTAGATGTCAAGCATACATATTATAAAGGGTTTTTGCAGCATAAGGTATCCCTATTTGGGTACAAAACAGGTTAGATGCGTCCTCCCCCAATCTGCTGGCGGTAGTAAATGTATCTCATATTAATAGTGTACATCTTGATTCTAACCTGGAACTGTACAGTCCTGTACAAACATGCGATTTCAGCTGTAGCTATTTCTCATTAATATTGCCAGGCTTTATATATAGCACATAATATGTTGGCATCTCTATGCACTCACAAATAGCAAAATAACAACCTTACATCTTATACAACATTTGGAATAGCTACAGTTACCCATTACACCAGTTATGAAAGTATGGCAATACATGAAGATTCCAAATACAATTTTTAACTGAAAAGACAAACAAAAATTAAATTAATTAAAGAAAAAAGTATATTATCGTGTTAAAATATTATCTAAACTAATAACATAATTTCAATTGCTGTTCAGTTTTTTGGCTGCTTGAAATTATTGATGGAGGGTGCATAGCGGAGTTAGGAAGGAAGTGCATTCCATATTGTTGAGGGTACCAGGGTGAAATCAATACCTCATGTATGATTACATCATCGTCTCTTAAATCTCTTCACTTGAATGAAGAAGAACAACATTATATTGAACGTGATGTCACTGGTGAGAAATGCAAAGCGATGTACAGCCATCAAATACATGTGTAGGAATTATGTATTCTATACTTTTGATCTCTCTTTGACTGTACATCTATACCATGGTTCATAATCGCAAGGAGTGTCAAATCTGGCAGACATGAGCGTCATACAAGAACCCACTATTATTATTATTATTACATGTATTATCTAGATTTTTCACACTAACGGAGTATCGCCTATCTTTATTATTCATATTATATTCATATTCATATTTATTTCATTTCCAACAAAAAAATTTAAACAAAGATATTACATTTTTTTAAATACATCATTCATTTTTTCAGGAAACTACACAAATAAATGTTGCACATAATCAAATTATTACAAGAAATTCTTAATTTCTGAGGAAATGGGGGGATCCACTAAAAAGCAGTGCTTGTAGTTTGTGGATCCCCCAGGAAAAAATACAAATAAAAATATTTCAAATTTTGCCTACAAAGACTTAGAAAACACAAGACCATATTACCAAAAAACATACAATGTACAACCACGAAACGAACAAAGAGAAGTAAAACAGGTTAGAAGGAAAAGGGGAAGAAGAAGCAGGAAAAATCATGACCGAAAAAAGGTAGTTATAATGTTAATTTTGGAAAGGTAAGATCATAAGACCAAATAAATTTTAAATTAATCGAGCAGATGATGAAGACCTAAATGAAAAATTAAGATGATTACCAACTGTTAACAGATTATTCTTGTATATTAATATAAAATTTGAGCAAAAATGTTTTTAGATTTTTCTTGAAAAAATTTAGGGATGGACTATTTTTAATACCTTCACTTAGAGAATTCCAAAATCTAGGACCATCATACATAAAAGACTTCTTCGCTAATAAAGTTCTAAAGAGTGATAGGTGCAACTCGTTTGACCGTCTAGTTGGGTAATCATGAAATGACCGAAATAGGGGGAATATGTCATCAAATATATGTGGAAGGGTCTTTTTTGAATACTTATACATGAATTGTCCTAAGTGAAGTAGATACAGGTCATTTGTTTGTAATAGTCTGCCATTAACAAATAACGGGTCTGTGTGTGAGAGTGGAGCAGAATGGTAGATAATACGGAGAGACTTCTTTTGTAAAAATAAGTTTATTTAGTAGAGTTTGCTGCGTGTTGCCCCAAGCAAGTATCCCATAAATCGGATATGGTAAACTTAAAGATGAATAAAGCATGAATAGGGATGATGTCGGAAAGTGAAATCCAAGTTTATGTATTATCTATATGGTATTTCCACGAAAGTTTGTTATCAACAGTTATGCCTAAAAATGTAATCAATGAAACAACTTTCAAGGGGGTATCGTCAAAATGATATTCTTGGGCAGTGTCATTTGTCAAAGGAATTAATAAATAACATATATTTGGTTTTTTGGAGGTTAAGGGATAGTTTGTTTGCTTTTATCCATTGGGTGACTTTTTCAAGTTCTGAATTTACAACATTGACTAGAGAATTTGGGTTTCTATGGGAATAAAATAAATTAGAATCGTCTGCAAAAAGTATAAATGAAAGGACATCGGATGATTTACAATAGTCATTTATATAAATAACAAACAACAAAGGGCCCAACAAACATACTTGTATGTCCATATCTGAACCCAAACAATTAAACATTTGTCCTGAACTGGTATCTGGACCCTCTTGCTGTTCACACAAGCAATTTTTCTTTAAATTAGTTATTGTTAGTATAAACTTCATGGGTCACTATTGATTTATTATCCTTATATTACACCTTGCTAGGACAAGAAGGTACTGTGCGACCATTACTTAAGTGATCTTGCACAGCAGATAGGGTCTGAGCTGATAATATTAAATTTCATAGTTCACCACTAATTCGAAATCCTTATCTTACAGCTTCCAAGGAAAGCACATTAGTATGCGACCAGTAATCTTGCAGAGCAGATTGGATCTGGGCAGCTTATCACAATCAATGTAAAGCGCTTAGAAACTTGGACATTCCCGACATATCAAGCGCTATATAAGCAATAATATTATTTTATTATTATTGATATTATCACAGTTTAGTGATGATATGTTATCCATATCATACAGCCTGCAAACAGCTAGTAAACAGCTGTCAAATGTATAGATACAAAAGTGAGCAAAGTTTGATTGACAAAGGTATAAAGATCGTCATTTAAGA